GTGGCACGCCAAGTAAATTTTAACTCTGGTAACCAACAGGTAGAAGGACTTAGCGGATCCGCGTAAACGTGACGAGGATCACGCGGCCCAGCGCCTTCCTGATTCGTTTTTGTCTTGACAAATATTACACCAAGGCCATCATCTTTAGCCACAAAATGATGAATTTGTACGGTTTGAACAGAAATTGATCTGCACATTAAATTCCATCGGGATGTTAGGAAGAGATGAAAAAAACCTTTATCACCAAGTTCCAAAGTTTCTTTACAGAGTTTCTGGTAAAGCGAGTAGGTCAACGGCTGCTTCCCGGACGTCTTCGGGTTACTGATCTGATCACTATTAGCCTCGATGCGCTTCATTCCCGAGAAAAGTTGTTTCATTCCATCTCCAAATTCAGGCGGCAAAGCTAGACATCTCACTCTATGCAGGTCCTTAATTGCACTCCGATAACCACTTAGTGTCCCAGCTTTCACATCACGGCTCTTGTATACAAGAAACTGCTCAAAATACGGAGGCGTGAACTCCATTAGATTAAGCTCACCACTGCTGTCAAAGAATCGATTCGTGTTGTGGTCGACTTTAGCAAGCTCCTTGCGAATCCACTTTACAATGCTGTTCAGGCTACTCTTGTACTTCCCTCTTGTTTGCTTGGTAACGCAAGCATCTCGGATGGCTTCCACGCCAGCTACAGCCATTCCGCAAGCCGCGCTTTCGCTGGTATGTTGCGCGCTTCCTTCACGCATATTGCAGTGGCTTCTGGGTAGTTTCAGATCAATTTTAGCCAATAGGAACATTGTGTTATCGAACGACCGTTCCACTTACGATTGGTTGGAAACTCGGGATGGCAAGTCCTTGTATAGTGAGCCTATGTCAAAATACAGTAAGAAAATTTATTTTTGAAAAAATGTAAGTGGTCAGCGATTACGAATTGACGCGAAACTTAATATATTAGTTATGAAAGTACAGGAATCAGAATTTCCTTTCGTTATACATTTACGTAGTACTGTATATATATCAGCCAAACGTGCAACGGAGAATGCAACCGTGTTGTGATTGATAAAAAAAATGTGTTTGTGGACCTTTATACTGAAACTACAATCGGAGCGACGGATGACCACCTTGTCGCTTTTCGCGATGAAGAGCAATTAAGACCTTAGCCACGGAAAGGTGACGACCGTATGCAGCGTAAACTTTGTCGATAGCAACATCACTGGAGAATCCTGCGCGAAGCAAACCCAGAGATGACGTCCCAGAAA